AACAGAAAAAGGAATAAACACCAGCCAGAGAAATGAGCCAGAGCAAAGCCTGGAGGCCAGATGGTAAGGAGCAGCAGGTGGGCAGTCCAAGGGTCCCAAAGGGGAGAGGAGAGAGATGTCAGGAGTGGGAGAGGGGACAGGGAGAACTGGGGAACCCCCAGCAGTCATGAGGTTCAGGCAGACAAGTCATAGCAATGCACACACTCACACAGATATACCAGACACACACACTCTCTCTCGCTTTCTCTCTCTCTCTCTCTCTCTCTCTCTCTCTCTCTCTCTCTCACACACACACACACACACACACACACACACACACACACACAATAGAGTTTGGCTTAATCTTAGAAGAGCTGCCTCACCCTGTTTTCTGCTTCAATTTCCTCACAGGGAAGGTCTGTCCCGGGGCGTGTGCACATCCTGCTCAGGCCTGACTCACACACTCTAGAAGGGCCTGGGGGCCTGCAGATGAGGTGCAGGTAGCACTGAGGATGCAGGATCACGAGGCTGAGCACCAGGCAGAGCACTATCTGTACACAGGAGCGGGTCCTGAGGAAGAGCTAGGGAGGCTCATAATTGTGTCCCGTCATTGTGTTCATTGTGCTGTTTCCTTTCTTCTATCACAGTTTTTCCGTGGAACAATGCAACAGTGAACAGTCCTGTGTCTCTGTGCATTTGGTTCCTGCGCAGGCCTGGCAGGGAGATTCCATGTTGCAGGAGGAGTGCACTGCCCCCGGGACTAGGTGGCCTGGAATTATGTTCCCACGATGGTTCAACTCAGGCCAACCACGCCAGGGAGCTCCTGATATTTCATCTCTGTCCTGTGCTCAGGGTTCAGGTATTTTAAATATTGGAAATGTCATGGATTATAGGGTATTTTTTGCACTTTCTATTGTCTTAATTCTTTGGGAGATTTTCTGCCTCTTTAGACAGTGTGTTTTCCATCCAAGAACTCCTCATATTGTCCTCCCGTATCTTTGGAGAATTTGAAATGTTCTCACTTACTTATAAGAGCTCTTTATATGTTCTGGATACTCAATCATTGTCATGCATGAATTAAACAAGTTCTAGAAGTGGAATAACTTCTGCTGTGAAGACCTACTTCTCACTGAAGGAGGAGCCCCGAGGTTGAGGCATCACAGGAAGGTCACTGCTGGGGGGTGTGCTGGTAAGAGCAGAAATATTCTCCCTCTTTCAGAGACAGATGATGATCTGAATCCAGTTGTCAGGATAAGGTTTCCAGGAGATGGACTTTTTGATAGTCCATATAAGAGTGGTGCTGACGTTCTGTTTCCATAGGAACTAGCAGGAGCCCCGGTTATTTACTCCACGCTGCAGTGGAGAGATTATGAGTGTCACAACTTCCTGTAGGTTATAAAACACAATTCATAAGTAAAGCCTTTTAATACAATATTTAAAAACAATGATACATTACAAGTAAACATTGTTTAAAAAAAAAAAAAAACAGTAGTGAAAATAGACTCAGCCGTCCTAGTTGGACCTCCCAGTGCCTTGCTCTACAACGGGGACTCTCAGATACTCCCTAAATGAGCACTCCTAACTCCAGGCCAGGCCACTAGCTTCTCAGGAGCAGACAGAGACCAGAGCCACAACCTCGCAGGACCTAGCTATTCACCATGGGCCCCACAGCACCTTGAGAAGCAAGCCACCCAGCGCTCACCACATGCGGCCTCTGGATACAGCAGGAATCTTCAGCAACCCCCTCCTGGCCACCAGAAACAGGCCCTGAGCCACCACTCCTGGGAGGGGTGAGGTCCCAAAGACTCAGCCTCCAGATTCAGCATTCCCCTGCCTCCCAGCCACCAGGGTAAGCCTAGGGGTGCTTTGGGGGCCTGTAATACCCCACTAGTTGTACCAGAACAGGGCAACTCCCAGAACAGGGCCTCCCTGGTGGCGCAAGGGGTTAAGGCGCAACCTATGAAGCTATCGGCAGCCTCTGCAACACAAGTTTGATCCCCGGCCAGGGAGCAACCCACATGGCATAGCAGATCTCTCCTGACTCCCCTGCTGCTCCCTTCAGCAGTGTATTTCAGTCAGTCTTCCTGTTTGTTCCCCACTCTGTCTGTGGTAGATCTTCTCACCCCCCTACCTCTGGCCTGTACCCCAGTTCTTGTATGCATAATGGAATAAATCTTAAAAAAAAAAAAAAAGACCCAGAACACTAGGAGAGAAGCACTCATACATGACAAAAGCCCTAACAAAAGGACAAAAGTCCTAATAAGGTAGGACAAAAGCCCCACCCCATTGCAGACCCAGAGCAAACAATGGGTAGAAGGAAAAATAAAAATAGCTAAGAAAAACCTCAGGGGAGCAATAAACCCCAGCGGAAAAAGTCAAACTCCAGAACCCAGCAACACTGACACAGAATTCTTCTCCTTGTCAGAAGAAGAACTCAAAATTGCCATCATCAAGAAATTCGAGGAACTCAAACAAAACTCAGAAAAACTAATCAGTCTCTACCTCACACCAGTGAGAATGGCCCTTATTAAAAATCTAGAAATAACAAATCTGGTGAAGATGTGGTGAAAAAGGAACCTTCTCACACTGGTAGGGATGTAAACTGGTCCAGCCACTCTGGAAAGCTGAGTGGAAATGCCTCAAATCATTAAAAATGGAAGTACCACATGACCCTGTGTTTCCACTCCTAAGAAGCTACCCAGAAAACATAAAAACACTAATTCAAAAGGAAATCTAAACTCGAGGATCTATTGCAGCACTAGTTACAATAGATAGACATGGACACAACCCAAATGCCCCAAAACAGACAAGCAGGTGAGGGGGATGTGGCCTATATGCACAATGGGATACTACTCAGTGATCGAAAGGATAATCTCTTGCATTTTGGGGAACAAGGATGGAGCTGGAAGGGATGATGCTAAGTGAAATAAGTCAGAAGAAAAAGATAAATATTGGATGGGCTCACTTATGTGTGGAATATAGAGAAATTGAACAAAGAGTCCGGAACAACACAAAACTTGCAAGCTGCTATGTAGGGCTGTGGCCCCAACTCCATCCAGAATTTTGAGTCTGTCTGGGAGTCTTCTCACCCCTGTTCCTGGGACTAGACCCAGCCCTCTCCTCTGAGCCCCTGAATGGAGCCTCCTTCCCTTTGACACATCATCTAGGGACCCCATGCCGCTGCTTGGTGAGCCCAGCAAAGCCTTGTACAACCAGGACCTGTGTGCCTGCTGCCCCCCTTCATCCACCAGGGGCCCCACCCGAGTAGACGTCTGACCCCAGTCAGGAGGGACTCGCTAAACCCTCAAAACATCCATAGGCCCTAAGCCTTGGTGTCCCCTTCTCACCATGGGCTTTACAGCAAGGGGGGCTCAGCTCTCAGGGCTGAGCTCCTGCAAGTTCTTCCTCAAGTGACACGAGCCCTTCTCACCTGCTCTCCTTTTCATCCTGAGCAGGTTTGGGGAGCAGAGGGGCCCGACTGGGGATTCCATGCCCTCCTCACACTAGACTCCCACCTCACAGAGTGGCAGCATTGGGAGCGAGGCAGGACAAGAGAGAGATTACTCCAAGTCCAAATGGGTTGAAGCCATGAGAAGCCTGGAGGGGCTACGACGGAAGCCATGCGCAACCCCGGTGCAAAGGCAGTCTCCTGTTTGTTTAGAACAAGTTCAAAAAAGTGGGGCAAGCACCTAGGGAGTGCACACGCATGAGGATGCTGGGGATGCTACCATCCCGTGCAAGCTAGGGTGGGGTGACCAGCTGCGATTGCTTGGGCACCCCATCGTTTCTGCTCGTGGAAGCACATTGCTTCATTCTCTACTCTCCCTAACTTTCTGCACCTTAGGAGCCAGGCATTGTAGCTGATCTTGCCAATCTGGCCAGAATGTCTGCCTGCTGTTTTCAGCGGATTCTGGTTTCCCAATACGTTCCTCATACCAGGACTTCTGTCCTTGGGGAGAGGCCCCTGCCTGATTGTACATCCGGCTGACCAGCAAGAACTCCAGGAGCCAAGACAAGAGCCCCAAGAACAAGGCCTGGGATCCCACACCAGGCCATCCGCCTCCCGCCCCACCAGCCTGCACACGACGCCTTCATTACTGTGAAGACCGGGAAGCCAAGGAGGATGGTCACAGGAACGAGCCAGGGCAGGGACCCATCCCCGGGCCTTGGGTGCGACAGTGCCTGGGCCCTGCTGGGTGGCGCTGAAGGAAACACAGAGGGAAACCCTGGCCCGGACCCCACATGGCAGGAGAATCCGCCCAGCCTCGCCTGCCCTAGCTACCCAAACACGCAGAACTTCTCTTCCCTCTGGCAGCTGCTCCAGCAGGTCTGGGGGGGAGCAGAGAGAGGAGCAGTCCCCTCCCCAGGGCTAAGCAAACGCGCTCCAGAGACAAGGCAGGGAGTCCGGGAGGAACTAACCACATGCGGTTAACTCTTGAGAGAACAGCCCTGAGCCCGGGCGGGGCGCTCTGAGGGGAGAGCGGGGGAGGACGCGCCCCCGGAGCAGAGCCGCGGGAGACAGCGCCGCCCCCAGAGCAGGGTGATGGGAACAGGGGAGAAAAGGGTAAACACCCCTAGACCCGGCCCCCCGGGGCTTCTGCCCCCCAAGCACAGCGACCCGGAAGTCCTGACTTTCTCCCTGGAATAAACTTTCCATCTTAAAGTTTGTTTCTCTCCGTTACTCACCTAAAATGTCTGCGAATTCCTTGTCACGGCTGCTGGAACGAGACCCTGCGGTGATCGACCTGCTGGGTGACAGCGCGGCCGGGAAATCCCCGCGGGGACAGGAGACAGCCTCGGGAAACCACAATTTCTCTTGCAGCAGACTCGTAGAATAACGTGGTTTTCCTTGTGTCCAAGCGGAACCCAGGGGCGGGCCCTGCGCTCAAGGGGTTGGTCAGTTCTGTTAAACGAGGCCCAGTTAGCCCAGCGATTGGCTGGCGCGGCGTCATATCTGCAGCCGCCCGCCGGGTTCGCGGCACGGACGGCGCTCGCGGCACGGGCTGCGCTGCACCCAGACCTCGCGCCGCTGCAACCGCGCGGCCCTCACAGGTGCAGTAGCGGGACCCGCGCCCCTCGGCCCGGGACAAAAGCGCAGCGCCCCGCGGGGGTGGGGTTGGGGGGGGCGGTGAGCTGGGGTCCTCGCCCGCCCGATCGCCCCTGCTGGGCTCCGAGCCCCCGGGGACGCGGGTGAGGACGGGGCGGGCGGGGAGCAGCCCCCCGAGTCCAGCCCCGGGCGCGTCCCCCCGAAGCGCCCACCCGAGGGGGGCCGGGAGGGCGGGGGCGCGCCGGGCGCGGGGGAGCCGCCTGGACGCGGGTGCGGGTGGTCAGCGGAGAGGAAGGTTCTAGACTTTCTGCTGGGATTCTGCTCCCCGGCGCCTGGAGGGGTCGCCGCGGGCGGGGCAGGGGCGGGAGGAGCGTCTTCCTCGCCTGAGCCCCGGGGCTGTCCCGGGGCGCCTCGCGGAGACGGGGTGACTGGGCGCGAGTTCTCAGCCTGGGATTCCAGGCAAGACCAAAGCCACTCCAGAGAGAAATAAAGGGTTAATTTAGAAGGACTTAGAAAGACAGAGCAGGGAGCGCGGACCCAGGCCGGGGAGTCCCCGCGCAAGGGCGGGTCACTGAGCTGGGGAACATGAGGCAACAAGTTCATTGGTCACACACGGTGCGTCCTGCTGTCCTGTGGCATCGCGGCGCCAGCCCGGTCCGCGGACGCCAGAAGCGCCCCAGGGGCTCGTCTCTCCCTCTGGGACCCGCAGAGCGGCTGGTCGGGGCCCCCAGCGCACCCCGCTCGGGAACCCGGTGCCGCGACCCGCGACTGGCGGCTCCAGCGGCCGCGTCCACAGGAGGAGGGTCCCCCCAACCCCCCGCGCCCCCCGCGCGCGAGGCCGGCTCTGCGGCCCCCACCCCGGCTGCGCGAGGACGCGGCGCTGCCGCCTCAGCTGGGCTGACGGACCCTGGGGAGCCTTGGGGAGAGAAAATCCTCCTCACTGAGGAGAAGAGAGTTGGGAAGACCCGGAGTGGGGGAAATAGATGGGGAGATGGAGGAAGTGGAGGGAGGATGGGGGAGGGGAAGAAGGAAGCTGTGGCTGGTTGGGGGGGAGAGGAGCCCTCAGATTCCCCCACCACAATCACACCACTGGAGAAGGGGTTTTATGGCGTTACCCTGAGGAGAAAGGAGAGGGTTATTCAAAGTACATTTTGGGGGTTGTTTTTTCTCTTACCTTGTTCTTAATTTGCACAGTGTTTGATTTCCCGCCTCGGTGCAGTCCCGCTACTTTTCCCTCCACAGTAGCTCCCATGAGCCCTCACCACAGCCCCTGTGCTCCTCACTCCCCATTTTTTTAAAAATTTCTGTTATAGTTAAATATTTGCAAAATACTTCGTTTACACGGCTGAGCTCTTTCCAAGGTCGTCCTTAGTAATGGGAGCAGGAATGAAGAGTGTCCACTCTAGTTGTGTATAAATTCTACCCCAGGTGTCACTCCAGGCACAGGTGACTCTCACCAGTTGCTCTCTCCCCCTCTCAGCAGGAATGGCCCTGGCATCTCACACCCTGTGTTTTCTTTTGCTGCTGCTGCTGGGACCAGCCTGGAAGACTGTGGGCTGTGAGTGTCCTGGGGTCCCAAGGGGAGGAGGGTAGAGGGAGGATCTGAGCAGAGGGACTTGGGGCAGGTCTCAGCAGGGGGCGCCTGTTCCCTTCTCTGAGAGAGAGCCAGGGTGTGGTCTGTGCAGACAGGCTCCCCGGGATATTATACCCACTTCTGGAAACTCAGCCTAAGGCACCTTCTGTCCCCTTGGGCTCACAGGAGGCAGCTCACCCTCCTGCCTGCCCAGTCCCACCTTCTCCCCCAGGAGCCTTTCTTGAAATTGGGGACCATCATGAGTTCCACATGTCCTGAGGTGTCTTTTCCTCCTTTCTGTGGAAAGTCCTCTCAGCTAGATTATAAGTCCCAGGAGAACAAACAGGGTCTTATATTTTTGTGCCTCAAAGCTCAGAGTGGGAACTCCCTCATGGCGCATGTCACAGACCATGAAGCTATCCACAGCCTCTGCCACAGGAGTTTGATCCCCAGCCAGACAGAGAACTACCCACATGGCTCAGACCTCTCCTGTCTTGCCTGTTCCTGCCCCCAGCAGTGTGTTTCAGTGGATCTACCTGTTCTACTCCCCACTCTGTCTCTTCTCATCCCCCGCCCCACACCTCTGGCCTGTACCCCAGTTCTTGTATGCATAAAAAAATAATTCTTTTAAAAAAAACCCTCAGAATATGTCACTGAAGATAGTTATCAGTGGAATCCTCCAGAGCACAGGAGGGTCCATGGTGGCTTCAGAGTATTTAAGCCCCAGAGAGTTCAAGGTGGAGCAGCACTGACATGATGAGAGGCTGGAGGACAATTCCTCCCTCTGCAGCAGGCCCTGAACAGGGATCCCCAGGGATTCACTGGCATTTTTCACTCGCAGATCATCATTCCCTTTGCCTCAACCTCACTGTCACATCTCACTCCCCACCTGGGCAGCCCTGGGGTGCAGCCCAGGGCTCAGTGGATGGAAACCCTTTCCTTCAGTACGACTGTGACAGCAACAAGGTCACGCCTCTGGGTCCCCTGGGGGAGAAGGTAAAGGCCACCGAGACATGGACAGACTTGACCCAGACACTGGGAGAAGTGGGGAGAGAGCTCAGGATGATCCTGCCTGACATCAAACTGGAGAAAAACAGGAACAAGAGTGAGTGTGGGGAGGGGCAGGGGTTGGAGACAGGGGCAAGAGGAGAGGGAGCAGCCCAGGGGGGAGGGGCTTTGTGTGAAAACTGAACACTGTCCCACCTCAAACACTCCTGAACCTGATGGGAAAGGAGGGGCAAGACCTGGAGAGAATAACCCAGGCCCCCAACTGTGCAGAGATATTCACCCCCCCATAGTACTGGGTGAGATGGGACAGCCACAGTGATGCCAGGTGTTTGTGTGTGGATGGCAGGTCCCCCCACCCTGCAGGCCAAGCTGTCTTGTCAGCTTGAAGCACACAGAGGCACTGGTGCATCCTGGGAGTTCAGCATCAATGGACAGGCAGTCCTTCTCTTTGACACGATGAGCGGGATGTGGTTGGCCATTGATCCTGGAGCCAGCGGGGTCAGGGAGGAGTTGGAGAACAACCAGCACCTGACAGAGTATTTGAGGAAGATCTCCAGGGGAGACTGCAGTCACTGGCTTCAGGATTTCCTACCACACTGGGAAGAAATGCTGGAGCCCACAGGTAACTGAGCAGGGCGGGAGGATGTGGGAACTGCCTATAAAGCTCTGGCCTTTCTTGGGGGGTGTAAGTGTGTGATTGAAGGTGTAATGGATGGATCCTCTGATTTTTTTGGTGGACTCCTCCTTTCTGCAGAGTCAGAGACCCCGTAGGATCCCACTTCCTCCTGTCTGGAAGCTTTGGGATCAAAGTGTTTTCTTTGTAAAAACTGTACCAAAGTTTAAACTATGCTTCACTTCTGTATCATACAGAATATGGAACAAACTTTTTTCCAACACATTAGCGAAGAGTTGTATTCCTTCCTAAGCATGGGTCAGCTTCCAACATGTCATCCGGTGCTTTCACTGTCATGAAATAGATCTGAGATATTGAGTGACGAGAAAGAAGAGACAGGCAGTGCCCAGTGTAGGGTGGATGTGGAGAGAGTGAACCCCCTGGGTTGTGCGGGAGAGTGCACAGAGATGGAGATAGTAGGAGGGTGACAGACAATGTGAGGTGAGGGGGGTGTGTGTTGGGGCAAGACCTGCTTCTCAGTGACCTTGGAGGTTCCAGAGTGAAATGCGGACCCTTAGGGATGAGGAGCAGGTATTGTCAGATCATGTGGAGTTTCCATTTCTAATCTGAAGCAATTTCCACCCCAGGGAGGAGGTGTTTTTTAAAAACATCTCTTCCAGGCTTTCCTCAGGGATCTGAGTCTTGTCTCCTCTGTGGTCTTTCTGGGCCGTGCTGGTCTCCATCACTCCACATATCATGACAAAAGCTGTGAGCACAGTGCAAGATGAGGTCTGCGAACCAGCCACACAGATCTGGCCTCCTCAGCCGGGGTCACTATGTCTTCACTCCTTGTGCTCATCATTGTTCTCAAGTGTTGTGTCCAGTCTGTCCTTGAGTGGGATTTCGTAGAGATAACCACTTAATGGCGACTGGCAGGGGTAGAATCTAGATGATGGTGTTCCCAGTGTAGAGCAGACGTGGAGAAATTGAACCCCCTGGGTGGCTGGGGAGAGAGTACAGAGATGGAGAATCAGTGAGGGTGACAGTGTGAGGTGAGGGGGTGTGTGTGCCTGGGCAGACCTTCCTGTCCCTGACCCTGGAGATTCTAGAGTGAAATGTGGACCCTCAGGGATGAGTTGCAGGGAGGGACTTGTGCTAGAGAGCTCGTCGGGGATCAGCTTCCTTGGCTTGTCCAGTCCTTCATCACTTGATGAACTAGAGTGGCTTTACAGGGAATAACATTTTATTTGTTGCATTGTAATTATTTCATTTATTGTACTGAATTATTTTATCTCTTATGTTTCATTTATTTTAATTATTTTATTTGTTGCTTTATTTTTATCTAGTTTTGCGTTGAACTAGAATGTTGGCCAGAGGTTGGGAGGTGAAAGGATTCACCAGAGACAGTGTTGGGAGCAGAACAGATTCATCTTCTGAAATACACTGCTGAGGGGACTAGCAAGGAAGACAGGAGAGGTCTGCTGCCCCACGTGGGTCTTTATCCCTGGCCGTGGATTGAACTCAGGCCATCCTGTGGGCCTTCTGGGTGGTAGGTCACCAGGGAGGCTCTATTTTAGCTCTTATATGATTTTATTTATTTTATTGATAGGATATTAAGGATTTCTTTTTGAGTTTTCAGTTCTTTTTATCCTAATATTTTATTTTATTTCATTTTCTTTTATTTGGTTTTCTTTTCTTATCCAAGTTACATGGGCCCACCAGATGACTGACCAGGGTGATAGTGGCTGGTGCTGAGTCCCAGGGCAGTTAGGGGTGATCAGGCAGCTGTAGGGACAGCACAGGCAGGGCCTCTGGAGACTTAAAGAGGCTTCTGGATAAGGACAGAGACATGAACAACTTACTCTTGAAGATGTGGCTTTGGCAGGTGGCAGTGCATGGGGAGATGCCAGGGATGATAGGTATAGGGAGGAAGTGTGGTTTTCTGAGATCAGTGTGCATGAGTGTGTGTGTGTGTGTGTGTGTGTGTGTGAGAGAGAGAGAGAGAGAGAGAAACTGGGTGTGAGTCTGCCTGTGGGAGCAGCTGATCCTGCACAGGGAGCGGCTCTCAGGAGACCCTGGTCACAGGGGTGTTCTCCCTCCTTCCCCTTCTCCTCCCGCCATCTCTCCCCCTGGGACATTGCTCTGGGGATTCTAGCTGACCCCACACACGGGGGAGTCATGCTCTTCTCAGAGGTTTCCTTCTGACTCTCCCTTCTCTGAGAAACCCTCCCTCTGTCTCACCTGCTGTGTGTCTGCAGTCCGTCCTGTCCGCCTCGCGTGCCAGCTCCTGAGAGGACTCTCTGCACCCTCTCCTGGGCCCTCCTCTGTCACAGCAGGGATGACTCATTAGAGGTCACCCTAGTTCCCTTCACTGTGTGAGCCCCTGGGGGACCCATCTCCTGTCTCCGGCCCACCCCTAGGCCTGTCACTGTGCCCCCAACAGCACAGGAGTAGAGAGTGGCCTCCTCTGTGCTGGACCTGGGCCAGCAGGAGGCGAGGCAGCCTCTTCTCACCGTGGGGTCTGCTCCTGCTCCAGGCTTCCACTCTTGCCTTTCCATTTCAGCATCGCCAAACAGGGCCCCAGGTACCGTCACACCCAAGGCCGGGACTGTCAGCCACATTCCCTGGCCCATCCCTGTGACCCTCCTCCCCTGCGCCATCCTACTTGGCATCATGGGGTTACACTGAAGGTACTGGGGGCAGAATAGGTGGGGTGGGATGGGCAGGTCACTGGGTACAGGAGGAGATGGAATTCCAGTCCTCCCACCTTCCCAGAATCCACTCGTGGTGGATTGAAACCAGGCGAGAAGAGCTCGTGTCACCTGAGCAAGAACTTGGCCCAGCTCAGCCCTGAGCGCTGCGTCCCCTTCCCTGGAGGCCGGACACACCAAGGCTTAAGGCCTGTTCATTGCCATGAGCTTGAGCAACTCAGCTCTGGGAGGATGCCTGTGGGGTGGAGAGGGGGGTGGGGAGTTTGGGGACACAGGCACACATATATATACTCCTCAGTCCTTGTTTGGGGACAGTGCCGGAGTGTCCAAAGGAGTGTCTGGGGCCAGGTACTGAGAGGGGAGGGGCTGCGCGGAATGCCAGGTGGAGGCTTAAAGGCTTGGCCTCTAGTCACAAGACTGGAATGAGGATTCTGTTCCCAGAGACCTGTCTGGGTGACTATAGGGGAGGCAGGAGCCACTAGGGAGGGATCAAAGGACATTTGCTCTCACTGGACCTTGGAGAGCATCGAGGCTCAGCCTGGAGCAGTCCCCTGTCAGCCAGCCTCCTGCACACCCCAGATCCTGCAGGGATCCTGGGGACCCTGCCTTGAGCAGAGGTGGGCTGGAGAGGGGGTGCAGGGCCAAGCTTCCTTAGTTGCTCAGAACTGAGCTGGATCAGGAGAGATGGGGAGAGGGGCAGGGAGAGTCATAGTGAGCGCTGTGTCCTGCCAGCTGAGAGGCTCAGAGAGAAGGGAAGAGGGATGTTGGCCTGCAACCCTCCATGCCCTGGAGGTGTGGGCATGTGCACCCTCTTCCTCTCTCACAGCCTGACCCTGCAGGCCCTCCAGTTATATGGAGAATCAGCACTGAGAATGGGGAGTTGAGGGGTTCATTACTGCCTTTAGCGGGGCCAAAGCCTCGGTACCAGGCCTGGGGCTGAATCTGATGTGGAAAAATGGGGAGGAGATGGCACAGGCTACTGCACCCAGGGTTGGGGTGCAGATTAGGGAAGTACCTGACCCTCAGGGAGGGAGGGCTGTGAGATGGGGGTGACAGGGGAGGGGTAAACCCTGGAGAAGGGACCCAGGATCTCTCAGCCCCTGGGACAAACATTTGTTCTTCTCCGAAGGCCCGTCCTGCTGCCCGAGCCCCAAGCCCGGGGTCCTTCTCTAGACTCTGCCTCTGTGACCCACCGTGGCTCCCCTGCTTCATCCTCTACCCCAGGACACAGTGGATCCAAATCTGGAGGAGTCCCCAGTCACCACTCCCAGGGTCTCAACATGGCCTGTCCTCTGTGGCCTTTGGTGTCACAGCTTTTCCTTAACACACAATGCCACTTTCTCTGGTGCTAAGGGGCAGATTCTTGCACCTCAGCATTGAGAGGTGAAGGGATCATGTTCCATCCAAACCGAGTGGTGGACAGAAGTGGATTCACCGAGGTCCTGACGTCCCGCAAACTCCTAGAAATGTAATCCTGCTTGGATGCGAACTTCCCCATCTCAGTGCGTGGACAGTCCCCAGTGGACGACTGCAGGGTGACACGCCCCACGCCCAACACAGCCAGCCGCACAGCAAGTGTCCACCTGCACTGCAAGTGTTCGGGACCCAAGGGACGATGGACAGGCCGCCCGGGCTTCTGCGCCGGGCAGGTGGGAAGGAACACATCTGTAGAGTGACAGCCTAGGCCCTAAACCTACGGGGACTTAAATCCGCGTGTCCGCAGTAAATACACTTGAGAAATTCTACATGTTTACAAATGAGGTTAATAAAAACCACAACCCACAACTTTGTCTTTTCTTAAAAGGCTAAATACCTGAATCCATCCTTCCTGTGACCACAAGCACATTTTGGAACAACCGCTGAGACGTGACTCTGGACTGAGGATGAGGTGGTGACGGGCTGAGGGGAATCTGCCGTGAGCGTGTGTGTGTGTGTGTGTGTGTGTGTGTGTGTGTGTGTGTGTGTGTGAGGGGGGTGGATGCAGGATCGTGTCCTGCTGTGCAGGAAACAGGTGCTCAAGGATGTGGCATCAGAGGCCGTCACCACCGCGGGGGACATCGGGTGACAGCTCGCTGCCCTGTGGCTCAGAGAGGGAAGGGCCTGCACAGCTTCACCACTTCTGTGTGTTTGTTCTCTCTCGAAGGTCTTACAGTTACTAAGTATGTGGAATTTAAGAGAAGTTCATTCTCAGAGTTGGAGGAAGAAGGAAGAGCCAAAAAGTGCTATCAAGACCCCAGCTGCTTGTCCAAAGGGAGGCGCAGTTCAGCCTCCTGTGCTCCTGCCTCCTGGGCTCCTCCTTCTGCACCTCATCTGCAGGACCACCCCAATCCCCAGGCCCTTCAGCGAGTGTGTGAGTCAGGCCTGAGCAGGGGTGTGCACACCCCCGGGACAGTACAGACCCTCACTGTGAGCCAGGAAACGACCAGAGAATGGGGTCTAGTAGCTCTTCTGAGGTTAAATCATCCTCTGTGGTGTGTGGGGAGGGATGTGGGAAGGAGGTTAAGTGAGGTTGTGGTTGCAGAGGGGGAGAGAGTGTGTCCCAGGACTTGTCTCCCCAGATCTCATCACTGCCAGAGCAATTTCCCATCTCACCTGTGACATCTGTTCCTCTCCAACACCCTGGGGTCCACCGATCTGTTCTCCCTGCTGGTCCTCACATTGTGCCCCAGGCTTTCAGTTCTGGCGCTTTCCACTGTCAGGTGTTCCCGTCCCACCAGACAGGAGCTGCAGACATTCAAAGCCGGGCATGCATCACCTCCCGGTGTCTCTCTGACACCCCCACATATCAATCAGACTTCTGGGGATACAGACAGAATATGGGTAGAAAGACTGACGTGGGGTGAGTGGAGGGGACAGTGGGGAGAGACTTGGAGGAGAGAGAAGGGGGAGGGGGAGCTAGAGAGGCACCAGCGCTGGGGCTGTGAGGAGTGAGACTGAGTCCCACCACGCTGGGATCCTCACCCCTGTGGGCAGGTGAAGCTGAAGGGGATCCTGCTCTTTGTGGGGGGCAGACTCGGGTTCTTTTACCACCTTCAACTTGCCCATGCTGAGGCCTCACCAGGCCTCCTACTACAGAGGTCAGGGGTCAAGGTCGAGAGACAGATGACCCAGAGCTGGAGTCCAAGGGCTTCCTCCTCACTGGAGGTGACTCTGCATGTGTGGAAATAAAGCAGGAGGCGCAGCCCCTGCCCGCGAGGGAGCGTCTTGCTCAGGCCCAGCAGGTCCCACCTGTCTGGAGAGCGGGACGGGGTCAGGGGCCTGCGGGGGTGCTGGTTGGCTGCCCGGAAAACTTTGGGCCTGGAAAATGGAAATTCCTGCTGGAAATTGACGTGGCTGAGGCCCCGGAGCGGAGCCACCTGGAAGCCGGGAAATGGGGGGAGAGGGGCGAGTTTGAGGCACGCAGCTGAGGGGGGGCGGAGACCCGGGAATCCAGCCCCGCGCATCACTGAAGCGGCCCAGTGGGCCTCTGAGAGCCGGGGAGGGTGGGAACCAACCTTCCCCCGGAGAGGGACGTGCCGCATGCGGCTTCCTCCTGGAGCATCTGGCCACCCCCCCGCCCCCTCCCGACACCCAGATGCCTCCTGCAAACCACTGCCAAGGTCCTCACATTTCTGCTGATGCGGCCCTCCCGCCTCTTCTTCCGTCACAGGGAATCTCACCTTCTACTCCCTAGAGGTTTAAAAAGGAAAGTGCAATTTGACAGGCGGTTTTCTCAGCACACCCTTTCCTTACCGCCACCCACTTTCATGGGACTCTGTCCTCTCTGTATCTAACACAGCGATCCCTACACACTCTGCACCCAGCTCCCACAGCTCGCCAGGCTTCTCAGAAATCTTGCATGAGCAATTTTTCCTTTCAAACATGTTACTGGGTTATCACGATAAAGTGGGTTTACGTCACCGTATCTGCTTGAGTCTGTGTGTGTAACCTCTGCACATGTATGTTCTCACAACACACCCGCTACCAGTGCCCCAGGAAACTTTCCTGGGGTCCCTCCCCTCCCCCACACCCACCCTGCTTGTTTCCTGTCTGGTTGCCTCAGGGCTGCAGTCAGATGCTAAAAGTTTATTGTTTCATTTGGACTAACCCTTGCGTTTGTTTCTCTATATTCTACATATAGGTGAGACTCTCCAGTATTTGTCTTCTTTTGTCCATGTTGTCACATAGCAAGAGTTCATCATTTTTTGTAGCTGAGTAACATTACACACACACACACACACACACACACACACACACACACACTCCTTCTAATCCATTTCTCCATACTTGGGTACTCAGGCTGTTAACATAACTCACCTATTATAAGTGTGGCTGCAATGACCATAGGAGTATATACACACATACATACATACACACACTACACATACACATACATACATACTATTTTTTGAATTTTTGTATTTTCGTATTATTCAAATAGATACCTGGGAGTAGAATTTCTAAGCCTCTTGGTCAGTCTAATTTTTTTAAAGATTTATTTATTTATGCATACAAGAATTGGAGTATAGGCAGAGGTGTTTGAATGCAGTGGGAGGATCCACCAGAGAGAGAAGTGGGGAGCAGAACGGGCAGATCTACTGAAATCCACTTCTGAGGGGAGCAGCGGGGAGAGTCAGGAGAGGTCCACTAGCCATGTGGGCTGCTCCCTGGCCGGGGACAGAACTGGAGCTGCAGTGGCTGGAGATAGCTTGATAGCGCTGTCTTTAACCCCTGGGCCACCCAGGAGGCCCCCTCCTGCTCCTTCTTTAAAGAATCCTAACCTGACTCATGTTCTCTCAGCCTTTTCCCAAGGAACAGATAAGCAGAACTCACTGAACTGTCTCCCCCCAGCCAAGTCAAAGCAACACCTGCCTCTTGTGCTGGTCCCACACCTGCCACCAGGTGGCCCTTCCTAGATAGAGATCCTGATAAGTCAGGCTGGACCTTTCATGTTCCTTTATACATAAATACACACTAAGTTTGCTGCTCACCCACCACCTGGTTCTTAGGCAGAAGTGACTGTGAGCCTTGGTAGAGGCCCCCCACTTCTCCCTAACTGTGACGCCTGGTGACATAGCTGAGCACATCTGTGTGTGCTGCTGTGTGGGGCAGGAGGCATCTTCAAGTTCCTTCAGCTCAGTGGGAAAAGGCCAATCCTCAGATCGGCCAGGCAGGCAGGCAGGCAGGCAGGCAAGTAGGCAGGAAGGAAGGCAGGCAGGCAGGTGACAATACAGAGATGTGTCCAATTTTCACAGGAAAGGTGAAGGTGGAAAATGACCTTGCCTTTGAAAAGTGTTGTTCAAGTACCAAGAAGTTCAAGTGCAGAGACGCCCACAATCAGCGCCAGGAGAAGGTGGCCTCTGTGGGGAGGATGCAGTGTTGGGTGATCCCCAAGCCAGTAAGGTGCTGACTGTGGCCTCCCCTGTGTCAGCCCCTCTCAGCAGGTGTACAGAGTTGTTGCAGGACTGAAGCTCTGGGGGTCAGGACAAGCAGCTGGAGATGGAGAGGTGGCCAAGAAGGGGAAGTGCCCAGAAATCCTCACTTTCGGGCACTCCTTACAGCATTTCTGCATCAGAAAAGAAACCTCAGTTTGTGCCAGCAGTTCAGGAAATCCTGGTTTCCTTCTGGGTCTGTCCCTCCGCAGCAGCCCCATCCCCAAGCCCGCCTTCTCTGGGCTGCAGCCTGTGGAGGCTCCTCCCTCCTTTCCACAGCAGAGCCAGCCCCAGGCTGAGGGGGGCTCAGGACTTAAGGCTCAGTGAACTGCCTGCGCCTGCTCCTGAGGTCAGACTGGGAGCCTCTGGGAGGGCGGCCTGGCTGCTGCTCCCTCAGGCCTGGGAGGCTGCGGGCTAAGAGCCTCTTCCCTGGGTCTCAGCCTCGTCTCACACTTGGGGTGCACACAGGCTCTAAGGGTCCCATACCCCTTCTGACCCATCCAGCCCAGCTGTCAGCATCCCCTCACAACAGCACAGCCCCCATCCCCTGTTCCCCTCTGCTCAAGACAGGGCACCTGGCTGGGGGCCTGGGGTCTGCGGGAGGCTGGATGCCAAGTGATAGCACAGAGCTGAGCCGGGATCCCTGGGGCTCCTCAGAGTTAGGGCCCTTCTGACCTGCTCTGCCACCATCTCTGCTGTCCCTCCCACCACCTGCACCAGCCAAGCTGCTGTCTGCGGGGCTGCCGCTGGATCTCCAGACTGCTGAGTCTGTCTGTGAGGTCTCCTCACCCATTTTCCTGGGACTTGACCCAGTCCCTCTGCTCTGAGCCCCTGAAGGGAGCCTCCTTCCCCTTGACACATCATCTAGGGACCCCATGCCGCTGTGTGGTGAGCCCAGCAAAGCCTTGTACGACCAGGACCTGTGTGCCTGCTGCCCCCTCCACCCACCAGGGGCCCCGCCCCAACAGACATCTGACCCCAGTCAGGAGGGACTCGCTAAACCCTCAGAACATCCACAGGCCCTAAGCCTTGGTGGCCCCTCCCCACCACGGGCTTTACAGCGAGGGGGCTCAGCACTCGGGACCGAGCTCGTTCAAGTTCTTGCTCAAGTGACAAGAGCCCTTCCCGCCTGGTCTCCTTTCCACCATGAGCAGGGGCAGGAGGGGAGGGGCCCGACTGGGAATTCCATGCCCCCCTCACCCCCGGCCCCCCTCCCGTCCCCTCATCCTGCACACGGTACCTTCCATATTATAAAGCCGATGATGCCAGGCGGGATGGCGCAGGCGAGGATGATCCCAAAGATGAACCAGGGTCCCTGCATGACACTCGTGGTTGCAGACCTGCCTGGGGCCGTGCTCAATGGTGCTGAAATGGAAAATCACAGTGAAACCTGGGTCCAGACCCACAAATGGAGAATTCCCTGAGCCTCTGCCACCCCAGGTATCCCCAAATGCAGAATTTTCTTCGCTCTGGCAGCCCCTACAGCACATCCTGGATGTACAGACAGAGAAGGTCCTGACTCCAGGGGCACAGCGCTAAGGGGGAGTGAGGGGGCTCACTAACCAGTCTCTCCTGCAGGGACAGAGGAGCAGGGGCGGGAGGAGGGTGACAGATGCCTCTCAGGAGCTGGCGCTGAGGTGGAACGGAAGACTTTCCAGATGCAGACCAGGCGAGAGGAGGAGAACAGATGCTGAGAAGGAGAGCAGTGGGAGAAAGGTCTGGAAACGGAAAGAGGCCCCATGTTTGGATCAGCAAAGAGTCCATGGAGTGAACAAAGGTGTGTGCAGAGAGGAAGAGGCGTCAGGAGGGGACAGGGGACAGGCAGGAGGCACAGCACACCTGTGTCCTAGCCACTGTCTCCTGAGAAGAACTCAAGGGGGCGGTGCACCCCCCAACATGCGTACAAACAAAAACACAAAAACACACAAACATTCACACACAAACATACTCATGTAAGAAACCCACCACTCCTCCCCACCCCACCCTGCAGTTACCTGGGGTCGCCGGCGTCTCCCAGTGCGCTGCAACCTCCTGCAGCCATGTCCTCCAGTCTCCCCGGGACATCCTCCAGAGAGTGGCATTCATGTCTCTGTCCTCCTTCCACGTCTCCAGCATCCACCTGTCTCCAGGATGATCCGCTGTCCAGTTGCCGGTCACCAAGTCCAAACGCAGGGAGATGCGTCCACTGATGACAAGCTGCCAGGATCCTCGGCTGAGCCCACTGGCTTCCACCTGAATCACCATCGTGGCCTGCAGAGAGAGGGGCCCTGCCCGGGGAGAGGGCTCATTCTCTGCTCCTGGTGCCCACAGCATTGGTCCCGCCCCCCTGCCCCGCTCTGCCCTCCGTGTCCTCCCTGCCTGCTGCGACAGGAGACTTTCACTTAAACACGACAGCGCCCTGACCTTCACGTGTCCCCGCTCTCCCTGGGCCCTCAGACTCACCGCTGCCTCGGGAATCCTTGGGTTCAATGTCAAGAAGCTTCTCGTTGAACTTTTCCGCCAGGTCTTTCAGATTTCCTCTCAGGTCCTCCTTGAGTGCAGCCTCCACCTTCTTCCCGGGAACACAGACAGGCGTGACCTCGCGGCTCTGGCAGTTGTAGGTAAAACAGCGCTCCCCATGCACCTGCACTTCAGCCTCACACCATGGCTGCGTCTTAGGAGTGACAGCGATGTTAACACCGAGAGAGTCTGCAGATGAGAAGGAAAAACCTAGGTGAGGGTAGGACTGAAAAAAGAGGCTCTTACACAGCCTCCCCCATGTTTGAGACACAGGGATTCCCTGAAGGGGTGAGGGGGGGGAATCACAGCATTTAAACAGCCCCTGGAAATGCATCAGAGCTGGTAGAGATGAGGCCATGGGCCTTGGGGGTGGGGGCGCAGGGAGGGGTATGAGCTGGAAAGGGATAGTCCGGATGCCTCAGGACTCATCTAAGTGTCTGTGGTGAGGTCAGACAGGCCCAGAGCTCACGACAGTAGTGACTCTGGCACTGGCATGGGCAGGCCCACGGGGAATTAATAAGCCACACAATGGTGGCCCAGGCCCAACACCAGACATGCTGAGCACCCAACTCAGCTCCCTGCTGCTGCTTCCTGCAGAGTCCCTCAGGATGGGGGTGGGAGACTGGGAGGGGTGGGGGTGGGGAACTAGGAGGGGTGGGGACAAGGAAGCCTCCACACATAGCAGGGGCAGTGGCTGAGAACCCCATGATCCAACCTGGCAGAGTCCCTGCAGCCAGAAGCCCCAGGCAGCCTGTGGAGGAATCTTAGAGGAAGGACCTGCCCCTGAGGTCAGCACCCCAGGAGGCCAGCTCTGGTCCCTGGGCCTTTACAGGTTGTCCTGGGGCCTCTGCTCTCCCAGGGAGGGGCAGCTGGGGTGCACACTGAGTGGCCCCTGACATGCAGACAGCACCCCTTCCCCACAGAGAAGAGTGGGGATCCCATGCCCCTCCGGTACCCTCAGGAGGGGCTGTCCCCTGAGTATGGACACTTGGAGTTGGGCTGTAGGGTGGACGTGGGGTGTCCTTCCTCAGCCTCACACAGGGAGCGATCTGGGAAACTGCTCCTGCCCTCCCAGTCCTGAGCCCAGAGCTCTCCCCGGGAATATCCTGGGCCAGGGAACACTGTGGCCTCCTGGGGCAAGAGGTGACCAGGGGACCCCAGACCCGGGAGGAAACTGGAGTCCTTGGGGTTGGGGGAAGGAGAGGAAGGAGCTTAAAAGGGGAAGGAGAAAGCTTTGGAAAGGAAGAGGCTGGGGGTAGCTGGATTATCTGGATGTTTGAGGCGCGGGACCCCATCTTTGCGGGCACAACCCAGGCCAGGCCAGGTCCCAGTTGGGGGGCGGGGCTGGGCTCCCACTTCCCGAGGGGCGGGCTGCGGGGTTCGGCAGAACTTCCCGAGTCCGCTCTGTGGCCCTCCTCCTCCAAGCCTCCCTTGTCATTTGTTCCGGAGACAGAAAAGACCACCCGCCCGCCCGCTCCCCCCACCCACCCCCCCATCCGCGAGGAGGCCGAGATCCTCACACAAACGGAAACGGGGGGCGGGGTGTGGCGGCCGCAGACGGGGTCCCGGAGCCCACGGATCTCCTCTCCCCGACTCCGGGTCTTCAGCCCCCTCCCGCCCCGACTCCGCCCTCACCCACCCCTCGGTGCGCCCGGCCCCCAGGAACTCACTGAGGCGGGGCGCCCCCATCCGTGCCGCGGCCGGCGCCGGGGAGCCGCTGCGCAGACACAGCAGGACGCCCAGCAGCCCGCACAGGGCGCCCGCGGCGCGCGCCATGGCCCGGGTGTGGCGGGTCGCGCTCCTAAATGACCCAAGTTCGGAGAAGCGGCGCCGGAACCGACGGGTCCTAGCGCCTGTCAATCACTGCCGGACGCGACGCCAGGCCCCGCCCCGCCCCGCCCCCCGCGGCTGCAGCGACCGGGACGTGCCGCGGTGAAGCGCCGGGTCTCAGGGGGCGGGACGGGACCGAGGTGGGGGTCTTGGGGACGGGAAGAGAAGACGCGGGCCGGCGCCAAGAAAGGGCGGGGCGGGGCGCAGACGGCGCGGGGCAGAGGAGCTTCCGGAGAGGGGCTGACGAGCCCCACGAAACCCCGACCCCGGCGCCGAGTCCCCAGTCGGGCCGGGGCCACGGGCCTCTGACTCGCGGGCGGGACGGGGAGACGCGGATCCCCTCGGGCTCAGGGAGCCCCCATTGCTCCCCGCTTGGCCGCGCTGTCACCCCTCAGCCCCCCCACGACACCCGCCCTCCCGGCGTGAAGGTCCATCTCCCGGGTCGTGGCGGAGGGGCGGGGGCAGGACGGGACAGTCCCGAGAGGAGAAGCCGCCATGGCCCCCCGAGGGCCCCCCCCGCCCCCCCGCGTCCCCCCCCGCGCCCCCCCCCCGGCTTGCGCAGCACGGGTCCCGCCGCCTGCCGGGCGGTCCGGGCCTCCGGGTCCTCTGGCCGCCTGGGCGGGCCCGCCGGAGCCGCGAGGTCTCCTGCTCCCGTCAACCTGGGCTGCCCCCCGCCGGAGTCCGCCCGCACCCCGCAAATCACCGCCGGGGGCTTAAGGTGGGGATGGAGCTGGCCAAAGACGCCCGCAAACGGGGAGCCTGGGGGGGAAATGCGCGGGGCCACCAAGCAGCAGGCCGAGAGCAGCACCAGACCGCAGAAAAGGAAAAGTTGATTCGCAAAAAAAGGCGCCCCACCTGCTCCCCTCGGCCTCACCGCCAGACGCTGAAGGGCTCCCCGGGAGCCCAGAGCCCCGCGGCGCTCCCCGGCAGCCCCCACACAGCGCCCCCTGCCCGGACTCCCCACGCGAATCTGCAGCAGGAGAAAGACCAAACCTCCAAGGCCCAGCTTTTGTCCTGAAAAGTACCTTAAAGAGGGCCTTCCTGGTGGCGCAAGGGGATAAGCAAGGCACTATGAAGCAATCTGCAGCACGAGTTCGATCCCTGCCCAGCAGACCTCTCCTGCCTCACCCGCTGGTCCTCGTAGGATTTCAGTGGATCCGCCTGTTCTGCTCTCCACACTGTCTCTGGTGAATCCTCTCACCCCCTACGCCTCTTACCTGTACCCCAGCTCTTGTGTGCATAAATAAATAAATCTTTAAAAATTTTTTCTAAAAGGAAACATGAAAGAATGACTCCTTCGGGGACCATGTGATGGTAGGTTCTATGGCATGAATTGTGTCCCCACAAAGGAGACGGTGAGTCCTAAACTCTGGTATGTATGAATGTGACCTTGAAAGCAGGTTCTCTGAGGACAAACCATAATCCCACACAACTGACATTCCTACAAGCAGGGACACAGGACACAGGAGACCACACGTGAAGACACAGACCAGGGAGGACCAGGACCCTGGGACAGAGAAGTGGACATCAGTGAAGCACCTTCAAGACAAAATACCCCATCCATGGCCAGAGGCCGGGAGGGAGGGAGTCTGAGGACCCCAGAGGGGTACTCCAAATTTTATTGGGATGTAACAACCAATTTTCCAAGTTCCCCAAGAACGCAGATGCAGCCAGTTACTCATGAGCAGGCCCACAGGAGACAAATAAGCTGCACCACCACCTGGCCTGACCCAACACCAGAAATACCCAGCACCCTCTCAGCTCCCACCTGTAGCTTCCTACAGAGTCACTCCAAGGGGGCGGGGGGTAGGGGGGGTTGGACCTAGGAATTCTCTGCAGAAAGGAGGGGGCAGGGCCCAGACCTTAGGACACACCATCCTGTCATGCTCACCCACCCATGAGCCATGAACAGGACAGTGTGTTTCTGGCCGTTCAACACACAACCAAGGCACCTCTGCACTCCGTGTTCTTTCCAGGCCTTCAACTGATGTGAAAGGACCACCAACATTACAATCTCCTTTATTGAATATTCACACATTTATGTGTTAATCTCATCCAAGACATTCTCCATTGGACAGTAAATTAACCCTCACAATCCCCAGCATCATTAATCATCCCTTCTGCCTTCCTCTGTGTCCTAACACTCAAGCCCACAGTAGGCACATCGCGGGCATTTGATTGTATGTGTGCTCCACACTTCATGGGTTGGTAGAAGTAGAATGTGTCTTTTTTTTAGAATAAATTATTTTTTTTTCAAAGATTTATTTATTTATTCATACAAGCACTGGGTACAGTCAGAAGCACGGGAGGGTGAGAGAATTCACCAGAGCCAGGGCAGAGAGCAGAGCAGGCAGACTGATGAAGTACACTGCTGAGGGGAGCAGTGGGCGGCAGGAGAGGTCTGCTCGCCATGTGGGACCCTCGCCCTGCGGCCAGGAATTGAACCGGTACTGCTGAGGCTGCGCACAGCATCGCAGCCCAGCACTCAACCGCTGCGCCACCAGGGGAGGACCAAATTTCTTTTTTTTTTTTTAAAGATTTATTTTATTTATACAAGAACTGGGGTACAGGACAGATACAAAGGAGGGTGAGAGGATTCACTGGCAATAGAGCCGGGTACAGAACAGGCAGACTGATGAAAATCACTGCTGAGGGGAGCAGCAGGAACAACAGGAGAGGTCTGCCAGCAGAAAGAGAAAAAACAGAAATTCTGGCCTCATTGCTCCAAAGCTTTTTCCAAAAAGGAGTTCCCCTGACTGGCAAAAGCTCCTGGTGTCCACCAGAGTGAAAAGGTAGAAAGCACCCCTGATGACAGAAGGCAACAGCTGTCTTCCACAGCTTTCTCTAGTGTGTGCAGGAGAAAGAAATGCTGAGTCATTTAAGAAAAGCAGACATGACAGTGAATGCAGAAATGACACAGACAGAAGGGCAGAGCGTGGTGTGTGTATAGGTGGTGAGGGCGCGCGAAAAGAATGGACACTTATCACCTATCAGGATATACAGCCCAGGGAGCTGGTGGGCAGCCAGGGGCCCAGCTACGGGCTGGGAGTGTGGGACACCAGGGCAGGTTGAAACTCCAGGATTCCGCCTGGGGCCTACAATGTGTGTCAGCCACGCTGGGTCCCCAGATGGTGATGGGGCGGACCTGGACACCAAGTTCACGGTAGCTTTCTTGGACCTATGTCTACTGCTGAACTGTGTCTGGGCAGAGTGGGGGAGGTGAAGACATGGGATGGGGATGGGATTCCTGAACCTTCTTGCCTGTGGCTCACCCTGGTGCCAAGCTTGGCAGCGTAGTCATCTGTGGTTCCAGCGCACCTCTCTTGTGCACGCAATTGGACGGAAGAGATATGACTTCCAGAAAAAAGTAACCCCAGGAAGAAGAGAGGGCAGGGGAGGCGATCACGCTACAGGAAAATCTGCTGAAATCCCCTAGTTGCCTGCACCCTGCCCCTGGATTAGTGGGTGCCAGAGCTGCTGAGGTGTAATCACGACAGAGGTGTCCCCACAGGGGCAGGACCCTGTAGCCCTCGCAGTCCCCTGCCCCCCAGAAGCACACACCGCCCTTGGCTCACACATTCCCTTCACCATCTCCACTGCTCTGCTCCCTGAACCCCCAACTCACTTTGCCACACAATGATAGAGGTGCACCCCAGGGCCTCCCTTTGCCAGACCCTCCCTGCCACCACCCCCAATCAACTCCCCTCCACCCCAGCTCCCAGAGCTTCCAGCCCATCTCACTTCCTCAGTGCATCCAGGGCCACCAGCTCCAACCCACAAAAAGGTGATCCTAACACTTTCTCTCCAAAGGGCTCCAACCCTCTGCCTGAGGACACACTCCAGGAATGCCCCAAACCTGGCCCTCGGGACAGAGAGTAGGAGGGGCGGGTGTTTCCCCAAGTGAGACCTGGATGTGAGGGGAGGCACCTCCCACTGTCCCTTTCACCCCAGGCATGATTTTACCTACTGAGGAGACAGTATCATTGGATTAGGAGTTGGGAGTCTTTTGCTTCAGGGTCAGAGAGTATTTCTGCCTCCAGTGCCATTTGGATCTATCCTGCGACTGACTCCCTCCACCTTGCGCTGCAACAGCAAAGACATCCTACAAACCCGCGGGGGCAGATCTGGCCCTGTCCTAACTTGCTGACTCCAGATTTAAAGTGTATAAGGTGTCCCACATATAGTCCCCCGTCCTCTAGGGGATCCTCTCGAGCACTGCCCAGTTGGGTGTTGACAGCCAGAAACCTGCTCTATCCATGGCCTCTGGGTGGAGTGAGCATGACAGGCCCACTGTCCTGGGCCTCTGTCCCTCTTTCTGTGGAGGAGATCCCGAGTGATACTGCAGGAAGCTGCAGGGCAGAGCTGAGGGGTGGTAAGGGGTGGTACAGCTTTCTCTTTGTTTGAATTATTTAATCAAGTATGCTGTGAGCTGCCCATCTGGGTTGTGTCCGTGCTCTTGCTGTCTATCAACCATCCTCACAGCTCTCAGGACCTCCTGGCACTTAGACCACTATAGTCCTCTCAATCATTCACCTGCTGTGCTCCTGACACAGAGCTCCTACATCCGGCATCTGTGTTCCCACATTCTCCAGCCCATTACTACTGTGAGTCCCTTTTGGGAATGCCATCTGCTCTCACCATTACTGACCTTCAGGAATAGCCGTCACTAGCTTCTGGAGAATTCTGATGCCCTTCTCATTCATATTTGCCTTGTAGGCTTAAAAACCTGGACAGTGGGTCATGCGGGAGGCATACTGATGAAAGAGAAGTAGGAGAGGGACAGGGATGTGGCCAAGTTCTTTAAGTTCTCCAGGGGAGAATGCAGAAGCCAGCTTGAGAAGTTTTGGGGGAACCGGGAGAAATGCTGGCGCCAA